TTGTGTGTGTGTGTGTGTGTGTGTGTGTGTGTGTGTGTGTGTGTGCGTGCGTGCGTGCGTGCGTGCGTGCGTGCGTGCGTGCGCGCGCGCGCGGATACGCTTTCCACACTGTCGCGTGCATCGACACGCGAAAGGGGAAACGAGAGAAAAGGAGTGAGTTGGATCGAGTATAAATAGCGGTCTATAAATTATGCCATCCACGTACGCGACCGAGTACCATCTTTAAGGCACTGGTCGAACAGTCGACGTCACCCGATGTCACCGACGACATTCGATATAGACGACATAGACGACATCGTCGACGCGGACGTCACAGACCGTGGAAATGGACGGCTAATCTCTCGAGCCAACTCGTCGGGATGACAATATCCGCCGTCTATCTGGTTTTTCCTGTTACACCGTGAAAAAAACTTGATGGGAATCGGCGGAAGGCGATCTCGTCGCGGTAGATCTCACAGCGGATTTGTCGAAACGCATCTAGGAAGAGCAACATTCCGCATTCGAGTAGTCGCAGTTCCTGTTTTGGTCGAGACCACGCGCCGACGATCGAGCCACCGACCGATCGATCGGTCGATCGATCGATCGCGGCAATTATCGGTACGCGTGCTGTGCGTGCCTTACCCGCGTGTGTGCACGATGGGATACCTCTGTAATTGGATATGGCCTCGCGACGTGTTTTCGCGACGCGACGTCGGATAACGTGGAAAGGCCCATGCGGCCGTAATGAATTGCCGTTGAACCGGATTTCATACATCATTAATAAAACGGTTAATTGCCGATTGCGAAAAGTAAACTGAAGGGACGTTTTTTTCATCAATTTGATTAAGATCCTTTTTACGTCGAGACGACGTGCGCTAATGATCCGCCTTTGACAAACTAATGATTTGAGAGGGGCCTCCCTGAAGTAAGCTGTCCAATTATATCGTCATCATCTATCAAGCGGCGGATCGGGGACATGTCTCAGCGCGACGCGTTAGATCTAATAAACAGATCGTCGCGTATCTTCCGGCACCTCGCGCGATAATCCCGATTTTATTGTTCCGCAAACTCTAGAACCCTTACGATTCTTGGCGTGCCGGACGTGGGCGTGCGGATCGCCAACGGCGTTCAGTTACATCGGAGAAAATGCGCTCGCGCCGCTCGAATCGTTCGTCACGAAATTGCATTTGGCAGCGGTAATGGCCGATCGATTTGGCCTATTAATTGATTCCGAGGCAGCGGTACCAGCGCGAGAAGGTTGACCGAGGTCGATGTCGTGGAATCGATAAACCGTCATCATTCATCCGTCGATACTCGTCGTTCACGTTCACGTGCGTGTGTTGGAGCGGCACACGTGCCGCGTTTGTTCTGGCCGTGCACGGCGAACGATCGGGACTTCGTATTGTCGTACGATCGCACGGAGGCCGAGACCGCGGGCCATCTCGTCCGTTCGTGTGCGACCGTCACCGAAGATCTACCGTGAGATCGTGCCGCCGATCGGACACGATCCTTCGAGCGCAACGCTCCCCGATCGTAACCGTGACGAATGAGATCTCAGCAACGCGCGACAGCTCTCGCCCGAAGGATCTACTTAGTGGCGCACCCGGTTAGCTCCCTTTCACGATGGACCCAATGCCGCCGTAGTTTTAATGGAGAATAAATTTGCTCACTTTTTTTCTTTACACGTGTGTAGTAAGATGTCTCGACTTCGTCTCTAATTTTTCGAAGTTGTTTCGTGACACGAAGCGACCGACTGTCACGTTGCTGGCGATCGTCGGAGGCTGCACGTTCTCCATTCTCCAATCCGTATTCCTCTGGCATATGTATCTTGCTTGCACGCGAGAAATCTTTGAACTCACGCCGCATGAGAATTTTTCTAACGGTCGGTGCGTGAATAGTTTCGCTCGTTGAAGATAATATCGTTGATATCGTAAAAGCAAATCAATTTGACATCTTCATTAGAACTCCGCGCAAGATCGACAGATGAGAAACTGACTTTAACTAGTTATCGATCTCCCGGTTTAGCTTATGAACGCGACGTAAGTATCGTGATTTAATAGCAACTCACGTCGATCAACTCAATGTCTGGTTAACCAGAAGCCATTATGAAAACTAAGTTGCGATAATGCACATCCCCATGCAAATGCAAACCGGAAACTTAATTACTTTTTGATACCCGCGTCATAATTTATCGAGATTATTCCGATATATAACTGTTTTAATTAGTCCCCACCGAACGAGGTGGACGATGAGACTTATTATGAATAAATTAACGCAATATGTGTTTCTCTTCCCTCGTTTAAAGCTATTTTTTCCCCTTTTATTTATATCTGATGCATGTATATCTGTATACATTATTTAAATTATGTATTCTGCATTTCCAGGCGAACGACCAAGCAGGTTTTATCTGGTAAGAGAGGAAACTGATCTCACGCTGGATTCCAACACGGGGATGCTGAGGATTCGACAGCCACTCGATCGGGAATCACGTGACAAATACATTCTCAGTATCGAGGCACGTAACTTCGGCTCCGTTGGATACTGCCAGGTAAATTGCGCATCCTCCAGGTAATCATCGTAGCTCGGTATTAATTTCATAATCATAGCCATTTATCCGTCTTCAATATATATATATATATATATATATATATCTTGAATATATACATGTAATAATTCTGAAGCGTGCGAAAAGCTCCAGTCACTAGATTTTTCTGCGTTCCCACCGATATTATTATATTATTATATTAATATTCAGTGAGCAACGCGCGCGTGCTTGTTAGCGAGTTACTATCGTATTTGGAAAAATGTAGAGTTTAATTTGCCGTTTATCGGTTTCTCGTTAACGAGGCATGCTTGCCGCTTGCGTGCCGTCATGAAAAACGCATTGTCGAGTCGAATCTGAGCGGAAGAACGAGCTTATATGACACTCGGCCGTGTTCCTCTTTCCATTACAGTTGGAACTAATCGTGGAGGACGTGAACGACAACGCGCCGTCATTTCGCACGAGTACCGTCCGTATCTCAGTGCCGGAATCGCATCCTCTCCACGTGCCCCTGTACGTAGCGCACGCTACCGACCCGGACATCACGCCGTTGCTGCCGATACGCTACGTTCTCGGCCAAAATAGCAACGATCTGTTTGGGATAGACGCGCGCACCGGCGAGCTCTATTTGGTCAGGCGATTGGATTACGAGACCCAGCAGAGGCACGGTCTTCTGATAAGTGCCCTGGACGGCGCCGGGCTCTCCTCTAACCTTACCCTGAGCGTCGAGGTGCAGGATGTGAATGACAACCCCCCAGTGTTCGAGAGGAACGAGTATCACGTGGAAGTTCCCGAAGGCGCCAGGCTCGATTCTCAGGTGAGAAAAATCTTCATTACACGCCCGTCACGCGGATATTTGTTTGTCGAGAAGATGCGGTAGGGTTCTTCGAAAAAGGATGTGAGAAAAGAAGAGAGAGAAGGAGGGAGGAATGGAGAGAGAACGAGATAGCAGGAGAGAAAGAATTTCTGGATCGGACGGTAGAGATGGTAAAAGTTAACAACTTCTCTCTTCGGTCTTTCTTCCGCTCTTCATCGGTATCTCTTCGCGGTCGAGGCGATAGTGCCCTTTTTTTCTCCCGCGGTCGAATTCTTTTTGCTCCCGTGCGTCGAAACGTACTTCTGCCGTCTCAGGGATGCGTAATTTTATCCGGGACAACCAGGAAGAACGTGCTCGTGAACTCTCTGCCCCCTCTCGCATCGCGAGGCATATGCTGCAGCTACCGCTCGTCTACTCCCTTTCCGGATAGCTTCTTTCGAAAGAGAAGGGAACGGGAGAAGGATCTGAAGAAGAAGAGGAAGAAGACGTTGACTCGCGAAGTTCAGCATATAGGCAAAGAGAGAATTAACTCCGCGCCGACTAGGAGCGGAATTAACTGGATGTTGAATCTCACGTTGCAGCGAGATTAACCGATGTTACTTCGTCCGAGGTTGCCCGACCACGGACCAGTTCGGAGCCGAGAGATGGATAGGGAATGCCCGATAATCTGATACCCAGACGCGGCATGTTGCCGCGGCTGATACCGATTGCGAGCAGCCGCGAGATCTACGGGAGAGTGGGTTAGAATTGATAGGTAACAGTCGATAGATTTGCAAGAGCGCCTCGCCGCGCCATATGGTCAATCATTTTGCGAGCAGGTTCCAGTGGTTACTCGTACGCCAAGGGGGAAAGATCTATTGCGTCGCGTTTGGTCAAAAATAGAATTTCGTTTTGAGAACTTGGTTTTAAAATTGAATTTAAAATCGAATTTTTTATTCGATTTCGCACGAATTCTTTTGGGCTAACACTCAGAACAACTTCCGAAGAGATGCTCGTCGGAAGATCCACGAAGATGACAAGTGACGTGCATCCCTCTCCCTGTAATTATCTACATATATCAGTCACTATACGATTAAAAAAAATCGAAATAAAAGCGAGCATGGGCACATGGCGAAGTTTTGCGACGGGAGAGAGAGAGAGAGAGGAGGGGAGGGGGAGAGGAGAGAGAGAGAGAGAGAGAGAGAGAGAGAAGAGAAGAGAGAGAGAG